CAAATGGATTTCTTTAATTCCCTGTTTCTCAAGCTGGCAAGAAGCACACAGGAGCATTTTTAAAACACCAAAAATGGTAACCTGCTCAACTGGGAGATGTTGGGAGGAGTTACTAGCCATCAAAGCTATCTAACAACAACAAAAAAAATGCAACGCACTGCTGTTGAGTCAGATCCGACTCATAGCGACCCCTCCTTGGGTTTCTGAGGTGGTATCACTACAGAAGTAGATTGTCAACCTTCCTTCCGAGGAGTGGCTGGTGGGTTTGAACCACCAGTCTTCTGGTTAGCAGTCAAATGCCTTAGGCACTATACCACTAGAGCTCCCAAAAGCTATCTAAGGAGCCAAAACTATAGATGAATGTGCTTGGGAAGAGGAAGAAATGATGATGATGAAAACAACAACAATAATGGCATCAAGTAACTATCAAGGTGGGCTTTATTCATATATATTTATATAAATGAAGAAACTCTAGTGGTGCAATGGTTAAGGGCTCAGCTGCTACTGGAAAGGTCAGTAGTTCAAAACTACCAGAGGCTCCATCCCATCTGGCAATCTGCTTCCATAAAGATGAAACCAACAAAACCAAGCCCACTGCCATTGAGTCAATTCTGACTCATTGTGATCCCTGTTGGGTTTCCAAGGCTGTAAATATTTACAGAACTAGATTGCCTCATATTCTTCTGTGGAGTAGCTGTTCATTTTGAACTATCAACCTACTGGTTAGCAGCCAAATGCCTTACCCACTATACCACCAAAGCTCCTCATAAAGATTACAGCCTAGGAAACACTATAGGGCAGTTCTTCTCTGTCTTACAGGGTCACTAAAAAAAACAAAACTCATTGCCATTGAGTTCATTCTGATTCACTGCTATGACTCCATTGGATTTCAAAGACTGTAAATCTTTACAGAAGCAGACTGCCCCATCTTTCTCCCACAGAGTGGCTAGGAGGTTCGAATTATCAACCTTTTAGTAAGCAGCCAAATTGCCTTAACCACGATACCACCAGAGCTCCCTATAGGGCCATTATATAAAAAAAGAACCAACAAATCAAACTCCCTGCTGTCTAGTCGGATCCAACCCATAGTGAACGCTCCTTGGGTTTCCGAGGTGGTATCTGTACACCATGTAGATAGCCCAATCTTCCTTCTGAGGAATGGCTGGTGGATTTGAACTGCCAGCCTTCTGGTTAGCAGTCAAATGCCTTAGGACATACACATGTTGTTGCATGCTTTCAGAATCGACTTGTTGGCACACAACAACAACAACATATATGTGTCAGGAAGAGGTCCTGGCTGGCACAAACAGTGCTTGTTTACTAACATAAAGATTAGTGGTTTAGACCCACCTAGCAGTGCTGTGGAAGAAAGGCCTGGTGATCTGTTTTTGTAAAGACCACAGCCAAGAAAACCCCACGAGTAGTTCTACTTTGTAACACACTGGGTCGCCAAGAGTTAGAATTGATGCAATAGCAGTCGGTTTGGTTTTTGGTTGATTATGTGTGAGGGACTATACTAATGAAATTAAATGTATCATCATTTAATTTTCACAGAAACCCTACAATAGACATATGATTATGTAACAAATTCCATAGATGAGGAAACTGAAACTTACAGAATTTAAGTGACTTCTTCAAGGCCACACAGCTCCTGAATGATGAAGGGCCTTTAACTGCTCAGTCAGAATTTCCAAAGGAACTGAAGATGAGGTTGATACTGCACCCATCTTAAAAGCTCACTTCTGTCATTTTTGCTGTCCAACAGGGTAGCCACTAGCCACATGTGGCTATTGAAATTTAAATTAATTACAATTAAGTGACATTTAAAAGACAGTTCAGTGCTAATGAGCACTTGAAACACAGCAAGTGCAACTGAGGAAATGAAATTTTAATTTAATTTAAATTTCCATAGTCAAACTTGGCTAGTAGCTACTGTATTACTGCACAGGGCTGATTCCAGGAACTTTTCTCTCAGATTTGTCAGATACAGTTCAGGGCTGCCTTCTAAAAATCCTAGAGACAGGGGGCATTAGTTGCTTTGCTGAAGGATCCATAAAAAAATCAGGGGGCTCTTTGAGGTCAGCTTTTAGCTAAACAGCAGAGTGGATCATAAAATAAAGAATATCACCCATGAGTAATGAGCTCCTTTAAAAAAATCATCCATAGGAGATCAAATGGTCAAAAATTACACTAAAGTAAAGATGAGAAGGTAAGAAGGCAGGGAAACAAGAGTACAGGAAATGGTATAACCAGAAGGGATGAATGAGAATGACTGTGAAAAATGTAACCAGTAGTATCACTGAATAATTTGTGTAGCAACTGTTAAATAGGAACCTAAAAGTGCAAACTTTTACCCTAAACACAATAAAATATTATTAAAAAAAAAAAATCGGGGGGATAATTTCCCAGATTTCTTCCTTAGGTGGGAAGGTAATTTCTTACTCAGTTTCTCCAGCATTCCCCTACCCCCAGCAATTATGCCTGCCTCAGGAATCACAGTATGAAGACAACAGAGTCAGAACAGGCAAACCCAGGAGCAACTATTCTCAGGTAACAATGCAGCAGCATCAGCAGGAAGCAGGTTACAAGCAGATTTCTGGGCCCCACCTCCAGAGAGTCTGATGCAGCAGATCTGGGGGAATTCCAGGGGTCCATGTGTTCATCAGTGCCCCAATGGTTCTAATGCAGGTGGTCTAGCTTCGAGAAATTCAGCTTTAGAGGTCGAATTACATATTTATCTCCTGGCCTCTTAAATAATTATAGCACATGAATCTTTTGAGAACAACACAAACTGGGCAGGAAGCCAGGCAGACATCACTCTGCATTAATTGCTCACTTCTACGACATCAGGCCAGGCGCTTAGTCACTGAGGCCTCATTTTTTTTCATTTGAAACATGGGTCTGTCTCTCTGGGACAAATGAGAACACAGATGTGAAGGCATTTGAGGGGAGGATAAAAGGTAAAACAAACTCTATAGACATCCTACAACTCAGAGACAGGTTTGGTTTGTCTAGCTGAGAGTTAAAATAGGTTGCATGTGAAAAATCCCCATTTTTAACTTTTCAAGAACAATGGAAGATCTGACAGTGTGGGACCCATATTAGGTTGGCAACCTGGTGTGGTTAAAAGCATCACTCTGGAGTCATAGGCATAGGTTCAAATCCCTCCTCTGTCACTTAAAAGTTGGGTGCCTCTGAATAAGTCCTGCAACCTCTCTGTGCCTTAGTTTCTTCAACTGTGCAATGAGAACCCCTCATAGGATTATGATGATTACATTAAATGAACTAATATTTATAAAGTGTTCAGAACAATGCTTGGCACATGGTAAGAGCTATGTAAGTGTTAGTTGAATAAATATGCTTGCACACGACAGGAATCAGCTGGAGCTGAGCAGCAGCTTTCCCCTTCAGATGGGGCCGACATGCACCTGGTTATCACTGTCTCTATCCAAACCCATTTGACTATGGGATCTCTGCTGGAAGGGACAGACTTGTATCTCCCTCCCCCTGTGCTTTTCCCCATATAGGGGTAGATGTATTTCATGCCTACCACCTGTCTGTCCATTTGTCATACTGTGGTGGCTTGAGTATTGCTATGATGCTGGAAACTATACCACTGGTATTTCACATACCAGCAGGGTCACCCACGGTGGGCAGGTTTCAGTGGTGCTTCCAGGGTGAGAGTACTTCCAAGCATTAACTAATGAAAACTTTATGGATTGCAACAGAATATTGCTGATACAGTGCTAGAAGATGAGGCCCCTAGGTAGGAAGGTACTCAAAATGTACAGTAGCTATGACGAAAAACACAAAGATACCAATGATCATGGAGATGGTACCGAACCAGCAACATTTCATCTTGTTACACATAAGGTCGCCATGAGTCAGAGCTGACTTGACAAAAACTAACCACAACATACTCAGCACATCTTAGAACACTAACTTCTCAAACTAGTGATGGTGAAAGGCCAGTTTGTTTCCATTTCCAATTTGTTGTAGACTGACACACAGAACTACTGAGCACAAATAATGGGCAGCACACACCACACAGGACTTACCATGTGAGTTCTATAAGCCCCTGGCCGGTCTAGGCACTATACCACTGATCAATGAGACAAGACCACTGAACACACAGTCGGATGCTGCAGCAGTGCCAAATAGCTCTGAGAGTTTCTAAACACTCTCAGTACTTAAGAGGCTGTGAACTGGTAATAATTTGCAGGCCAGCCTTCATCCTCAGACTATGCTTTTTGAACAGCACCATCTTATAGGACATCTGTCTTTGCATTCACACAAACCAGACAATGTGCTTGGAGAAAGCATGTAAGGGATTGTCTCTTCACTCCTATCCTTATCTGCTGCCTGCCTTCTCCTTTTCTATGTGTATATTCAAACCAGCTCCTTGGTGAGATATTAAGGTCCGGGACAACCTTGAGAGCTGCAATGGATGCTTTTGGTATCCCAGGCCAGGTACTTATCCCCAGGTGTTATGAGAGCTGCTAGTAGCTCATAGCTGTTACTTCGGGCTGACAGAAGCTGCTGTGCACCATGCCCATATCTACAACCTCCCCGGTACTCACTCCCCAGTAGCCCACAGCCAATGATGGACTGATAGTGATACAAAAGGTTAACCACTTTGTCTCAAGAAGGAACCAACTCTATAATGCAGTTCATTCCAGAGCTCCTGTGGGATCAGGCTGAAGGTAGACTCCAGCTGAGATATCATTCTTCACTGTCTCCTGCCCTGCTCTATCCCTTTTCCCTCACTCTCTCACTCCAAGGACAAAACACTCATGAAATTAGCAGCATCCAAACACCTGTCTGAGGCTTAGTCCATCATAGCATCAAAGACAGAAGCTACCTGAAACTTGTATTCACCTTCCTCAGCAGCCTTTTGGAGGAAAACACATAGCGGGATCAACACTAAGATCCTGAGGATGAGTGTCAGGTTGCCCACAGATCACCTCTTGTTATCCATTTTCCAGGTAAATGGAACCTACCTGTTGCATTAGACAGGGCCAGTGATTCCATGGAGCCCCGAGGGGTCTGCTCTGTGGGCATCATGTCCTCAGTGTATTTCAGGGAACTGATTGGATGACGGGTCCGGCACTGCTGAGTTGAGATGCCCCCTTCTTCCTCTTCTTCCTCCTCGTATTTGGGGACTTGGATGCTACCTCGGGTTTCACTGAAGCTCTGGCTGGACATGTCACTGTAGCTCTCCTGGGATCTCAGCCGGCCTGGGTAATAGTCCTCTCGGCATTCCTTGATGAAGCTGCCCCCATGTCCCTTCATTGCCAATGATGAGCTCCTTTTAGGGTTGCTGAAGTGCTTGCCCCACATGTCGGGCTGGGCCCCAGCCCCTTGCCCTCCAGGGCTGTAGGAAGTTCTGATGTTGCACTGGCTGAGAAGCTGCAAAGGACTCTGGGACTGGTTCTGCTCCATCTTGTTTCCATAATGATAGGGCTCGTCCCGGCTTCTCCAAATAGGGTCCCGGTTGAGGCTGGGTGTCTGGCTGGACAGGCTGAGCAGATCCATCTGCATTGACAGGGGGTCCACGTCGGCTGATAGCAGGTTGGAGCTCACCTGCAACTGGCTGTGCTGGGTCAGCACGGGCTCCTCTGTCTTGCCCTTGTTCTTGCCGATTTTGGCGCTGCGTCGAGACTCCTTGGCCCTGGCATTCTGGAAGGCTGAATCGGATGAGTCAGAGCCATTGGGGTCCTCGCCGGCACTGCAGGCCCGTGAGCAGAATATCTGGCCCTGCTTCGGGAGGAATGGCCGCCCAAGGAGGGATTTTTTGCAGTGAGCACAGCAGAAACAGGTCTCGGTGGCATGCCAGTGTTGGCCATCATAGGTCATCTGACCTTGGTCAATCCCTGGAAAAGAGGAGACATGGTAGAGGCTTATGTACTGCTCAGAGTCCTTCACTACATAGCACCCTGGTCTGGCTCTGGATTCCAGATGCAGCAGACCAAACTGTCTCTAAACCAATGTAAGTGGTATCCATGTCCTGCCATGGGAGTCCCTTTGCCCTACTAGTTGGCTCCTTAACTCATGTTCTCTGAGCACAGAGAGTCTAGATCACAATGCTCCATTCAGGAATCTTTTTGCTAGAGACACACTTTTATCAAAGAGCAGTAATGATACACACATAAAATATAGCACTGCTTTAAGAGCCCTACATATGGAAATCCACTCAATTCCTCAACTACATGAGGTAGGTTTCTTCTACTGTTTCCATTTTTCAAATGAGAAAACAACACAGGGGGTTTACCAACTTACTTAAGGTCATAAAACTAAGAAGCAGAGATAATATTTGTACCCAAGAAGACGTGCTCCTAACGATGACCCTGACATTATTTCCTTCACTCCACTGAGGTGTTTGCTCAAATGCCAACTCCTTGGAGAAGTCTTCCTGCCCACCCTGTCTAACAGTGTGTTCTCCATCACTTTCCTCCCTTGTTGTGTTGTTGTTGTTATGTGCCGTCGAGTCAGCCCCAACTCATAGCGACCCTTCCTTGGGTTTCCAAGGCAGTATCACTATGGAAGTAGATTGCCCAACCTTCCTTCCAAGGAGTGGCTGGCTCTGTCTCCTCCCTTACCTACCACATTTTTCTTCGCAGAATTAACACTACTTAGCACTATACTACTACATGAGTTTATTTGTTTATTATTTATCTCCTCTACTAAACATGAAGCTCCATGAAGGCAGAGTCATTACACTTTTGTGGTATCTCCTGGACCAAGGGGTTCTTCCTATGTTGACTGGATGGAGGGTTAAATTTCCATCACCAGTGTGTGCTTACTGGCGAAGAAAAAGGTGGATTTTACCTCGTTAAGAAAAAAACCTGCTCTTGGAAAGGAAAAGTTTGGATGTAGTTTGTCAAAAGTTACATGTGTGTAAGCATGTATACCTTTTGCTTAACTTCATCAGGAAAGGAAGACACACATTTCCTCCTTGTGCCTGGACTGTGAGCTCTGGTGGCACTGTGGTTAAAACACTCGGCTGCTAAATAAAAGGTTGGCAGTTCAAACCCACCAGCTCCTTGACAGATGAGGCAGTCTACTTTCATAAAGACTGACAGCATTAGAAGCCCCATAGGGAAGTTCTACTCTGTAGGGTTGCTTTGAGTCAGAATCTACTTGATGGTAATTGCCCTGGTTTGTCCTGGACTATGCCCAGTTTAGATAGTCTTTCTTGTTAAATGGTCCATTATCAGAATCTCTGAAACCCACTGCTGTTCTCCTCACAGTCTCCTATTTTTTTCTGGTTACAGGACTGCAGCTCCCCACAGGCCCCACCTGCTCCCACTTTTAGAACACGGGCCCCAGTGACTGGTTCAGGGGTGGGCATATGACCTACACTGGGAGTCACCTGGGACTTTTGCTAAGAGATTGACACAGAGAGGCCCTCTTTCTACCTCAGTTGCTAACCTGACAGAATGGAAGCCAGAGAATGCTGGGTTCCATGAGGGGAATCTTTCCTGCCTGTGAATTGGGTCCCAAACAAGTAGTGTAGGATGGAAGAGGACCTTTACAGGATTCCTGATACATAATGATAAAAGTCCTTCCCAAAAGGCGGTACTAATGTGAATACCACATTCAATGACTGAGAATTCCTGAGCCTGGACTTCTAAAAAACAACTCCTATAGACTTGTTGAGAGAGGCAGAGGACAGGAAACAAAGAGGGAATCTCTACACAGAAAAAGAGAACTACAAGAACATAAGACCGAAGAAACAGTATCTTATCTTTCCGTTATGGTGGCCATTATCCTATTTACTTTTGTATCACTGGAGCTCATGGGGAGAGAGGTGTGAGGACAATTATCCTGCTATATCCTCCCCCAAACTAAGGGGAGTCTTTATTTATTTGAGCGCCTGACCCTACGAACTAAAAAAACCCTATCAAACCCATTGTCAAACAGTCTGTTCTGATAGATAGTAACCCTACAGGATAGGGTAGAACTGCCTCATAGGGTTTCCAAGGCTGTAAATCTTCCCAGATACAGATTGCCACATCTTTCTCCTGTGAAGTAGTTGGTGGGTTTGAACCACTGACCTTTTGGTTAGCAGCTGAGAGCTTAACCACTGTGCCACCGGGGGGATTATTAGAGGGACAGGAGCAACCACAAGGACCACTCCAAGGTGAGAGGTTGTTGTTGTTATGTGTGGTCAAATTGGAGACTCATAGTGACCCCTCCTTGAGTTTCCGAGGTGGTATCACTATGGAAGTAGATTGCCCAACCTTCTTTCTGAGGAGTGGCTGGTGGGTTTGAACCGCCAGCCTTCTGGTTAACAGTCAAGTGCCTTAGGCACTATGCTACCAGTGTAAATCAACTGCCCTCCCTTTCAGCACCTGTATTTCTAAGAGTGAGAAAGGGCTGAAATGAGGCTAAAACACAGACAACCCAGAGTTTTGGGTGATCAACATTTCCACTCGTCCCCCAGAGGGAAGCAGGAACCTACATTATGAGGTGGAGGTCATCAGAATTCTGTAGTAGTTAAAATGAGACTTTAGGAGTTAGCAAAATGCAGAATCAAGTCCCAGCTCCATCCTATTCCAGCTCCTAAAACTCAATCTACATGGTTGGCAAGGACCATGGATGCCGAAGTCCATTTGCTTAAGTTCACACCTTTACTCTGCCCCTTTCGAGCTGTGTGACCCTAGGCTAGTTGCTTCATATCTCCATGGCTCAATTTCTCCAACAGTAAAATGGGGATAATCACAGATAGTACTTACCTCATGGGGTTACTGTGAGAATTAAATGAGTTAATACACCTCGAGTGCTTAGGCCTGTGCCTGTGAACTATTGTTATTATTCTTTATATTTATTAAGTCTGAAAGCCTGCCCTTCTCTTTTCTCTGAGGGTCCCTGCTGGGATACAATCCAAGAAAGAACTCTGAGGCTGGCTCAGATGGTCTTCCTTCCTCTCTCTTCCTTTCCATCCCTTTTGTCACATGCCAAGAGTCTAGAGAACTTGAGCTGGCATCCTGGCTGCTCTGGGTCCTTTATGGTGAGTTCCTACTTGGCATAGCATCCCTGGTAGCTGAAGCCTTACTCATACCCTCTCAGAGGTAACAGGAAGCCCAGTTCCTATGGCCTGTCCTCTACCAGCTGCTTGTCCTACTTTTGTAAGGAAACATGCTCAGAGGGAGGCTGCAGCAGGGGCCTACTTTCTGGGGATGGGGCCTCCTAAAAGGATAGGCTGGAGAGGAGGGGAGCATGTTATAAAGCAGCCCACCAGGCAGCAGAGCATGGTCCCTGATAAACATCAGTGATGTCAGATGGTCCTCTGAACTGCTCCTGAACTCTAAACATCTGGAAAAGGGCTCTGACGTTCAACATCTAAGCGTTCCTTTCTTATTCCCTCTCTAAGCCCTTTAAGCACTTCTCCGAGGGTGTATGTATCTATTGCTGCTTCAGCCTTGGTCTGTTTATAGGACTGTTTACTCTGCTGTGTGCAGGCAAAAGCGCCGTTGCCCTGGCAACGGCCGCCTGATGCAGGGTCTGCTGTGAGCGGCTATATAAATATGCAATATTTATACAGTATGGTCAGTGTTAGAGCACCCAGTGACTGTGATGGGTGTAATACACAGAGCATATCCTTTCACTGTCATAGGAAAATTATGTTTTGCAGAAAAGTGATTCCTTTAAAAAAAAAAAAAATTAGGGACAGCATTTCAATGACAGCAGCAAGGATATTGCAGGCCACAGTGGCTCACTTTTCTGATGAAGCACTGATGTCTTTTTATAGATTTAAAAGGAAAAGAGAGAAGGAAGCCAGTAACTGCTAATTATGTTGGGTCAATTCTGACTCATAAAGGTCCTACAGGACAGAGTAGAACTGCCCCACAGGGTCTTCCAGGCTGCAATCTTTATGGGAGCAAACTCTCAGGGCTTTTCTCCTGTGGAGCTGCTGGGTGGGTTTGAACTGCCAGTCTTTTGGGTTCACAGCTGAGCACTTATCCATTGTACCACCGGGGCCCCTTAAATGCAACTACCCACTATTACCTACTGCCATCAAGTTGATTCTGACCCACAGCGATCTCCATTGAGTTTCTGAGGTGGTAAATGTTTATGGAAGTAGATTGCTCTGTCTTGGAGTGGTTGGTGGGTTTGAACAAACAACCTTCTGGTTAGCAGTCAATTGCCTTAGGCATTGCACCACCAGAGCTCCTTTAAATGCAACTAGCTATAGCTAAAACTAATGTCTAAAAGAAGAGGGAAAGAGAATATAACAGAAAGACTGTCTGAGGTATACATGCTATAGCAACTGACTTGTTTGATCCCTCAAACGACTGAATGAAAATTCTAAGTGGCAATTTCTAGAGAAGTTTTAAACCTCTGTGAAAAGGGACAGAAGAAACAGAAATGCTAATGTGAAAGGGTATTGCCACCATAGGTAAGTCTTCTGTACACTCAGTCCCTCTCTTCTGAGCAACCACTGACTTGCAGACTCAGGAGCCACACTGGATCAGTATGTTGTGCCATTTTCCCTGTCACTGTCACATCCTACCATCCCACTGACTCCTCAGTAACCAATACTACTGAGCACACAGTAGGTGACTTGTACACAAAGCTGTGATTTTTATCAGCACGTAAAGCTCTCTACATTACTAGCTAAGTTTTCATCTGAATATATCACTGTAGATGGACCAAGGAGACAAAGCCACTTCTTTTTCATCCTAATAAAATCTTTTAAATGGGGCAAAATGGGCTTGGAGATTGATGATTGCCACATCTCTTCACTACAGGTAAGAAGCTGGCAGCTCCTGAACAGATTTCCTGCAATTGCATAGGCCACAGGAAGCTTGCACTGCTGGTCTCTCAAACACTTGGCCACTACTTTTTTTTTTTTTTTTTTAAGGGCAGCTCATTCCCAGAAAAGGCAAGTGTAATCAATAAGCCACAAACACAGAATGATCTAGGGCATCATTGAAAGGTTGAGCAAATCAGTTATTTGCAAGGGGAAAATGATTTTCACCATCTCAGATCTGCCATTATTTGGGGAGTTTATAGCTTATGAGCTATTTGAGGTTCTTTTGCTTTGAATGTGGCTGAGCTTGAGCTGGGTCAGCCTTTGCTGATTTCTTTTTAACGACATGATTGCTGGAAACCATTTGGTTCCCTGGACTACAAGCAGTCCCTGGGTTACAAACTAGATCAGTTCTAAAGTGTCTTAAAGTCAAATTTGCAGGCAAGTCAGAACAGGTGCATATAGGTCTTATTTAGCCTTACTTTAGTGCAAGAAAGGAGCTCTGGTGGAATATTGCTTAATGCTTAAAGCAACCGGCTGCTAATCAAAAGTTTGAACCCACCAGCTGCTCCAGGGCAGAAAGATGAAGCAGTCTGCTTCTGTAAAGATTACAGCCTTGGAAACCCTGTGTTGTTGTTGTTGTTATGTGCTGTCGAGGCAGTTCTATTTTGTCTCATAGAGTCACTATGACTTGGAATCAACTCAATGGCTGTAGGTTTTTTGGTTTTAGTGTGAGAAAAAGCTTGATCCCTTTTTAATGTTTAAAAGCTGCACATACAGCAAGTGAAAGTGATTATGATGAAGAATTTGCTGCAAGTAGGGTTTGGTTCAATCGTTTCATACAAACATAAAATAAAATAAAATAAAATAAAACCAAACTCACTGCTGTCGGCAGAGTCGACTCCTACTCACAGCGACCCCTCCCCTTGGATTTCCCAGTTGTCTTTCCAAGGAGTAGCTGGTGGGTTTGATCCACCAGCCTTCTGGTTAGCAGTCAGATGCCTTAGGCACTATACCAGTAGGCTCCCAACTGTTTCATTGTTGTTGTTGTAATGTGCCATTGAGTTGGGACCGACTTACAGCAACCCCTCCTTGGGTTTGGGAGGCGGTATCACTATGAAAGTAGATTGCCTAACCTTGTTGTTGTTGTTGTTATGTGCTGTGAGTCAGACTGACTCATAGCCACCTTAGTGAGAGCAAATTTACATAACATTGAAAGGCAAGTAGGAGTTGCCTGTAAGTGGACTTCTACTAACTGGGGACTTACTGCTTACTGTATCCTTCCCCACCAAGAGGTCTGCTTTGTTTCCTCCCTCAGCTGACCCCCAGTTGTTTCCAAGGAGCCTGTGGAAGACATCTGTTTATATTTTCTTTTCATATTTTCCTTCTGAGACCTCTCCCTCCCTTCCTTGGTCATAGAGCTGTCCTTTACATAACACCATAGCATCACCTTCAGGTTGGATCCATGACTCAGGCAGACCAATAGGAAGATATATTCTCTTATTTCTAGGGTTGCGCTAGAAGCAGGGCAAGATTCCTATTTGGAGGGATTGAATTGGACACTGGAAGAGAGATAGCTCTTCTCCTTATTAGAATGCAGGTCCTAAGAAGCAAGCTGAGCTAAGACATGGAGAAAAAAAATAAGACTTCTGTTGAACACTTGATCCATCCCTACCTGAAGCCAGCCACTCCTTGGCCTTTCCAGGAACATGAGCCAAGAAATTTCCTTTTCCACTTAAGCTAGTATGAGACGGGATTCTATCATTCATAATCAAAGGAGTTCTAACTATTCCAGACACAGTGGAGATCAAATCATGGCAGGACCAAGCTGAGCGCTAAGCGTTGCCTCACCTATGTGTTGGGCACAGGTGTCACAATATTCCGCATACAGGGACTCGAAGCAGTGGCAACAGTAGGGCCTTCCCTCCTTCATGATGTAGCGCTGGCCACCCAGCACTGTCTCACACTCGAAGCAGCAAAAGTGTTTCATATGCCAGTGTCGCCCCTCAGCTTCTGTGCATTCATCTGCAAAGATGATCTGGAGGTGGGGAAGCCAAATGGTCAGTTCTTGAGACCCAGCCACGAAAACACACTTTAGAGAAGAAAAGCTAAAGGGTCCCCCTAATTTAGAATGGTGATAAAGCAGATCCAGCCTATGAGCTATTAAATAATAATAATAATATATATATTCTCTCTCTCTATATATACATATTCTATATTTATATCAGCTCCCCAATTGGGATTTGCCTAAAGCACAATTAAACCTAGTTTCTGGCTCAGCCATGGATGAATTAAACCACATTTCAAAAGCAGAAGGAATTTTCCACCCTGAAGAATATAGCAGCACCATAAAGTGATAGCCCATGGGCACAACAGACATACACAAACATATCTGTTTCATTTGGTTAGTACACAGTATTTTAAAAACAGGGAAATTTCATATAAACACTTGGAGTCCTGGCTTCTCTTTTAAAAATAGAACATTTGGCAATGCTTGGTACACAGTCCTGCATGGCAACAACACACTAGATCTGAGAAGGGGGTTGCTGCTTCCAGATGGGCTGCAATTTCCCCAATTTGCCAGATTCTTTACTATTCCTTATTGCCATACAATGGATCATCTTCATTTATAATATGGGACAGGCTCTCAGAACCATTCACGTTTGGGCCTCTGATACAGAGTTTCTTAAATTTCAAGGCACAGATTTCAAAACTCACTACAAAGCTACAGTTATCAAGACGGTGTGGTACTGGCAATAGGATAGACATTGTTGTTGTTGTTGTTATGTGCCGTCGAGTCAAATCTGACTCATAGCGACCCCTCCTTGGGTTTCCGAGGCAGTATCACTACGGAAGTAGGATTGCCCAACCTTCCTTCCGAGGAGTGGCTGGTGGGTTTGAACCGCCAACCATCTGGTTAGCAGGCAAGTGTCTTAGCCACTATGATAGTATTGAGAGTCCAAAAAGTAGACCCAAAGATTCACTATATTTGGTTATCAAAAAGGGTACCAAGGCAATTCAATAGTGAAAGAATAATCTTTCCAACAAATGGTACTAGATAACAACATACCCACACAGAAAAAAATGAATTTGGACCCCAACTTCACCCCATATTAAGAAATTAACTCAAAATGGATCAAAGAGCTACATGTAAAGCTAAAACTATAAAAGCCTTAGAAGAAAACATAGATATAAATTTTGAGACCTTAGATTAGGCAATGGTTTTTAGGTGTAACACTAAAATCATAAACAACAACAACAAAGATAAATTGGAATTCACCAAAATTAGAAACTTTAGAAAATTAGAAACAAAGGATACTATCAAAGTAAGTGAAAATGCAACCTACAAAATGGGAAAAAATATTTTCAAATCATGTATTAGATAAAGTATCAGAATATAGAAACAATTCTTACAGTTCACTTGTAAAAGACAACCCAGTTTTTAAAAAGGGATGTGAATAAGCATTTCTCTAAAGAAAATATACAAATGGCCAATAAACACATGCAAAGATGCTCAACATCATTAGTCATTTGGGGAATGCATATCAAAACCACAATGAGATATCACCTAACACCTACTACGATGGCTATTATCAAAAAGATAGACAATAACTTTGAATGTGGAAAATTTGGAATCCACATCATTAATGGTGAGAACAGAATGGGACCACTGCTTTGAAAAACAGTTTGGAATTTGCCTAAAGCACAATTAAACCTAGTTTAAAAAGTCAGAATAACCATATGATCTATCAATTCCATTCTTAGTTATATACTCACAAGAATTTAACACATACATACACACAAAAACTTGTACATGAATGTGTACAAAACAGCATTAATTCATAATAGCACAAAAATGGAAATAACTCAAATGTCCATCAATTGATGACTGGAGAAACAAAATGTGGTATATCTATACAACGGAATGTTGTTCAGTGATGAAAAAGAAGTACAGATACATGTTGCAACATGGATAAACCTTGAAAACATTATTTGAATGAAGCAAGACACAAAAGGCCACATATTCTATGATTCCATTTACATGAAATATCCAGAGACAGCAAAGAGAATAGTGGTTGCCAAGGAAAAAAGGATGGAGAACTGAGGAAGAATATGAACCAACTGCTAATGAGTACAGGGTTTCTTTTTGGGATAATGACAAGAGCATGGTGATGGAAACATAATCCTGTTTTTCTTTACAAAGCAAAACAAAAACAACAGCAAATTGTCCACTTAAGGGTAAATTTTATACTTTGTGAATTATATTTCAATCAAACAATTTCAAAGCAAATTCATGTAAACCATCATATGCTGTTTGCCAAAAGATAACTCAAAGTCATATTATGAGTATCAATTTCTAGATGTGGAAATTGAAGCATGCAAGTAAAGTGGCTGCCTAGAATCACAAAGTTGGATCTGAACTCAGTTTCCTAACTCCACCCCTGCTCCCTGGGTCTCTCCAGAAATCACCATTAGCATTAGAAACAATTAATTCACTCAGATCAACTTCTAAAGAGCAAGGCAGTTTGTAAGAAAGCAATGCCTAAACAGTAGACTAGCTACGGTTGACTATGGAGAGTGTTACCTTCCACATTAATGTTTACACAAAAGCCATTGTTTGACCCAGAAACCTTCTTTGTGCAGTTAGAAACCTCTAAGATCTCCCCCAAAATTATTCTCATAAAAGAAGTCAGGTTTAGAACATTCTCCTTTCTGCTCCAAACTTTTCAATCTAAACCAGGTTTTCTGTTTGATCAGTTTACAATTTATACTTGAATGTATTTCTCCTGGGAGAACCCCACCAGGTGTAGGCCTCATTATCTAGTCTGCTTTCTAACCCAGGATTACTATTGTTGGTAGCTGCTGTTCAGTTGACCCCTACTCATGGTGACCCCATGCACAAAGGGATTGGGCTGTTGTGATCCACAACGTTTTCAATGACTGATTTTCAAAAACACGAGGCCCTTTCTTCCCAGTCTGTAAACTGTGCTGAAACCTGTTCGGCATCAGGGCAACATGTAAGCCTCCACTGACAGACGGGTACATGAGGTGCCTTGGCTGGAAACTGAACTCAAGTGTCCTGCGTGCAAGACAAGAATTCTACCAAAGACATCCAAAAGGAACTACCTCCTGAATCCTTACTCCTAACTTTTAAAAACTGTGTGAAAATCAAATAATGCTATCAATTTTCTTTTCATCTCAAATTAATCTGTCCCATCAAATTTCAGGAGACTGAACTATTTTAAGATATAAGTGGCAATCCATTACTGACAACTGCTCCCTGGGAATTAGGGCTGAAATCTAAAGCTTCACAATGTCTTTTTATTATTTCTTTTCTTAAGAGTTCTGAACTACCTGGTGCCAGGGAATGCCACCTGGGGATCTCCTGAACTCCAGAAACTGCCTTCCCATTTGGAGGCCCATGAGTCTGCTACCTTTGGGAAAAGTGGGCCATAATCCCAGACATCCTACCAACCAGGGATGGGTGAGACTTGCTAGACCTCCTCTCTAGAAAGGGTTAAAATAAGAAGAGCTGTTGCCTTGGAGACCCAGAATAAAGTGCTGGCAACTAAGGGGTGACAGGTAGGGCCGCAAGCCCGATGGAGTTTGCTCTGACCTCATCGCAGGCGGCACAGCGCGGCTTCAAGCACTCAGCGTGGTGCCGGCCACAGTATATCTTCCCATCTTGGTAAAAGTAGATCAAGTCCACCAGGAGCTCATTGCAGACAGTGCAGATGAAGCACGGTGGGTGCCAGCAAACACCGTGGCCGGCGCGCGACGCAAACACAGCGATGTCCCCGCCATTAATCTGACCTCCACACTGTGAGGCAAAAAGAAACGTCAGTACCAACACTGCCCCATTTCCAGGGTATTCTTCTTTGCTCTTCGTAAATGATAACAGCAAGATTATCACTGAGGACCACCACCACCAACAGCTGGGCAGTAGACACTTATTTTCAAATGCATCATAGTACTAACTGCTTTACATACCTGGCAGCTTTTTGGGCCTTTCTCCCACCCTCCTTTCCTTAGGCCTACAACTAAAGATGAAGATAAACTACCTGAGAAGAATGAATCACAAAGGTGAGAAGGAAAGAAAAACTCCTTTAGCATAATAACATACGGGAGCTCTGTAGGCAGAAGAGCTCTGCACAAAGTGAAGGTCTCATTAGTGTTTAGATACTCTAAATGCTTTCCAGGGATATAGCCAAGTTTAACATAAGGAGTTGGCTAGGAGACAGGTAGGAAGAGGAAGGCTTGGAGGGTAGGGTCTGCCCTGTTGGATGGCAAGGAGAGTGGTGCATAGAAACATGGCATCCTTTACTTTCTCTACCCACCCACTGTTGTTAGGTGCCCAATTCATATGGACCCAATGTGGCAGAGTAGAACACACTCACATGGCTTTCTAGGCCATAATCCTTACAGGAACATATTGACAGGTCATTCTCCCTGCAGAGTCACTGGGTGGCTTCAAACAGCCAACACTTCAATTAACAGCTGAGTGCTTAACTGTCACACCACCAGGGCTCCTTTACCCATCCTTCAGGCATGCCTACAGCCTGCTTCCTTTAACATCTTTTTACATAGTGTTGATTAAAAAGGCACCACTTTTAAGACCAAATTATGGAAAAGGTTTCTTCCTTGTTCCTTCCCTGCCTTCTCACTTACTTTCCAATAAGCTATCCTCTACCTAAAAAGGAATAAGGCAGAATGACCCATACTCGCAGTTGGGGGACGAGATACAAATATGGGCTGAGGGTCTTTGACAAGGAGTAAAGCCTGAAGCTATGGGTCCAGGGGATGCTCTCAGTAGACTATGGATTGGCCATGAGGTTCACACTTTGAGAGTCTAGCATACGAGCTCAGGGCCCTATGTGAGTGGTAGAGCTCTGGAGACAATGCCTAAAGAGTGGAAAAGCCATTTTCCAACCTTTCTCATACCATAGACCTTATATGAGTTGAAAGACATTGTAGAAAATGAAGTAAAGTCCTCCTGAAACAATCTCTGAGAATTTATACATGTGTGTGACTGGTCACAAGAAAGACATTATATTACAGAAAACACCACCCCTGCCTTCCATGTTAAAATTAGTAGAGCTGGGTTATACCCACACAATCCCATTTAATACTCATCATACTTCTTTGAGGTTACTCCATTTTGCAAGTGACAAAACCAAGGAAAACCAATTTTCAGGTCAAGGTCATATGGCAGAAACATGAGTTAAACATATACCTTTCTGCCTCCATGCCCTTGGTACTTTTATATACTGCTCTCAACATCTACCCTTGAAAAGCCTAATCTTTCTGGCTTAGGAGGGCCCAGCTTAGCTGGGTACAGGAGATCCATCTGGGAATGCCAGAGAGTCCCAAGCACACCAAAACGTACATCATAGCCAATGACCACCTATATCTCAAAGATACCCTCAAGGATATAAGGATGAAGACCCCAGACCCCACTGCCAAATCTCTGGTCCTTTATCTCCCCTGTCAAGTTGCTTTTCTATTCCATCCACCTGACCTTCTGCTTGTGAAAGGTCAAACAAGGGTCCCTCCAAAAATGGCATCTGCTCTTCTCAGACAGTATCCTGCTCTCTCTTCCAGGTGCAGCTGACTTCTCTTCAGTGCCTAAATGGGTCTATCAAGAGCTTAAAAGTAAGATGGAGCTGTACAAAAAGCAGTACAGTACAGAGAGGTGCAGGAAACTACTGTTGGCACCAGAAGGCTTTTGGCAGCTGAGAGATGGGGCAGTGAACCCAGGCAGGCTGGGCTCTCACTCACTTTCTTTAAGACCCTCCTCGACCACACCCTGAGTACTCTACTGGTGAGTAGGGGAACAAACTGACTCTTCAACTCAATGAGGTCCCAGGGAAAATACATGGATCTTCAGTGTACTTTACTAAAGAACCCTCAAACCCAAGGAGAAGCTCATTTAGCACCCCTTTAAAAGGCTTTGGTCCTGGGAGGATTCTGGGAAAGAGGCTGACCCATGATTGAGGAAAGCTCTATTTCCTAAAGAACTCATTTAAAAACAGGAGTCTATCATGCCCCTCTTCTGTTCAAATCCCTCCCAACTTTTCCCCGTGACTGTGGATGATCAAGTCCTCTGTGAATTCTGACCTTATCTACTAATTTTCACCCCTTCACGCCCTCTGACTCTTTGCCATACCTGGAATACAATGATCATACTCCTGCCTCAGAACCTTTGAGCTCACTGTCCCTTCTATCCCCAAAGTTTGCATGACCTCAGTTCTTACATGTCTTGGTTCAAATGCCTCCTTCTAGAGGCAGCCTTCCCCAGCCACTTTATTTAAAATTGCAGACTTGTACAATCCCAGCACTTCCTAGCCTCCTTCTCTGACATGGTTTTTTTATTGCATTTACTTGGCTTATTGTCTGACTTCTTTCCCTAGACCATAACCCTCTACAAGGGCAAACTCATCTTTTTATTGTCTTTTGTTCACTGTTGTATCCCCGAAGGCCTAGAACCGTGCGTAAAAGTTAACAAATTATTTGGTGAATGAGTGAAAGTGTGCCAGCACACTCTTTTCACTTGCCTATGTCCACACTCACCTGTTCACAAATAGCTCCTGTCATCGTGACTGGGAAGGGCCTGACATTGCCTCGGCCCAAGTTTTCCCGTTTCCTCTGGTTACTGAACAGCTTCAGCTCCCTCTTTTCTTCCTCATCCAGAGAGTTACAATATCGAACCTGAACAACACAAAGAATGGCAGGAAGGAGGTCACTCTTGCTCCTTAAGTTTCCCAAAGCCTAGGCCACAGAACTTTCATATTAAACACATTCCATTTGGTCCTAAAACCCTTGCCTGAACTTTAAATACACCAGGCTTGGTGCCATTTGGGGTGAGTCTCCACCAAGACTAGTGACAGTCGAGAGAGATTATTAACACCTCTATCCTTACTATCTCACTCTGCTCACCACACAGATATTCAACCACTGAACTAAAATCCAAATCATCTATGAATGGCTTTGGTGCTAACGAAGCTCTAAGACTTTCTCATTCTCAATGTGATGGTAGGGTCCTGACATTTTGAAGCCCCCTGCACTCAAGGAAATGGTGCTTGACACCCAAGGATGGCTCCCAGCCAGTGAACCAGAACAGTTGTCAGTATGCTCTTGACTTTTGTTCCTGAATTTTGTTCTGGGAAAAATGAGGAGTTGATCCAGAAGTAGGTATGGTGCTACAGATATCCTGGTCTGTTTATTTGTGTGTGAGAGGTGAGGGACTGCCTGTTAGGCTCTGGTGAAGTGCATCAACTTGCATAAGATTTCTCCTTGTTAAACAGAGAACCTCACAGAGTTAAGGAAGGGACATTAAAGTCATTCAAACTCAGTATTTTCCATTCCCTCCCTTCATTTAAGCACATCTTGGGAATTTAGCCAGAGCCTTGAACTATTATTTACTTAATACTGTTTTAAAACTGACTTATTTTCTTTCTTCTTTTTTTTTTTTTTTTTTACCTTGACTACATTTATTTAAGAAGAAAGCATACTATGACTATACATGGAAAACCAGTATCACCGGCAATCAGTGGAGGGTTAACCATAAAAACAAATAGAGTGAGACGAAAACCACTTTGTCAGATTTCAACTGGCTGCTTTGCTTATGGGGGAATCCTAATGCACTTCTTTAAAAGTCGAGCCTCGTATGAGTTAGAGAGCTGTGAGATACATGCCAGTATCAGACTAAAACTTTCACCATTCAGCCACTCAAACTGCAAGGAACGAAACAAAATTCAAAAGGGAGTAAATTTCTCAATGACATGCTTTAAACTTTATTTTCTGCCATGGTCATATACTACCCACAGCCATGCATATACCACACTTCGGGAAACCTGGTTCTAATCCCACCTCCTGCTTTATTCAGAGTAATCTGGGCAATCAGAAAGATTAACCAAATGGCTTAGATGATTTGTCATACAGCTGGTTTGACAAAACCTTTGAATGAGGACTGTCATATCCCAATTTGAAAACAAGTGCATTTAAAATAGTCTACTGAACTGCAGCTGTGTCTATCAAAATTGTCTGAATTGGGGGGAAAAGAGAACAATCAAATATTTACTTTAGAATCACCCTTTGTCCTCCAAAGGGCTAAAATGGGCCACTGGTCACATACATGGAATTCCCACCAGCAGGAAGAAGTAATTTGAACAGTGTCTCTTCTCATGCAACCACAGTGAACCATAAACAGAACAAACCGCTAAATGTAGACAAGCACAAATAACCTCTCTGTCAAGTAAAAGAATTAAAACAACAACCTTCTGTGGCTGTCCTAGAGAGGGGACTGCAGTGACCTAAACAGCCCCAGAGTATACAGTTACACCACCGACATTTTATAGACATGATTGTAAAGAGAGGCACACCCCTCAGGCTTGTAAAAACCCGCATTTTAGCTTCCAAATTAGTTAACTGGGCATCAGGTTACAATGCTTGCTCTCAGCTTTAAAGGGAAAAACATTATTTACACTTGTGTGATAAAGGCTGAAAGAAGCAGCAGGAGAGGGAATTGTGGATGTCTTTCTAAGGGGTTGCTTCCGTTTTTTTTAAGCTTTTGTTGGGCTTACTCATATTTATTTTAAAAAATCAAACTCATTGCAGCCAAGTCAATTCTGACTCATGGCGACCCCATGTGTTACAGAGTAGTACTGCTCCATTGGGTTTTCTTGGCTGTAATCTTTATGGGAGCAGATTACCAGGCCTTTCTTCCTTGATGCTGCTGGGCGGATTAGAATCACCAACCTTTAGGTTAGCAGCCAATCACAAACTGCTTTCATCAGTCATCGAAAAAACAAATCCACTGCCACTGAATGGATTCTGATTCACAGTGACTCTATAGGACAGTGTAGATCTGTCCCACAGGGTTTCCAAGGCTATAAATCTTTATGGAGGCAGACTGCCTCATCTTTCACGGAGCACCTGGTAGGTTTAAATCGCCAGCTTTTTTGCTAAGCAGTCATATGTTTTAACTACTGTGCCACCAGAGCTCCCTTTACCACCCAGACTCCTTTTTATATGTATTTTAGAGGCCCTCCAATTATCCCTTTACTCAAATGAGGGAGGATAAGCCTAGAAGGCACTCACTCATTTCCCTTGGGATTGGGCTGCTGGGATCCTGCCATGGATGGGGGAAGTTGGTAGGAAGCTAAAGTCTAGTTCTCTAAAAGGGTTAATTCTTCTTTCAATTTCAAATGGCGTTTTTTTTTTTTTTTTTGCTTAAGATAAGGCCAGAATTAAGTGAACAGACTGCTCATTCTATAAGATTTTTTTTTTTTTTAAAAAAAAACAGACACTGAAAGGATTAATTTCTAATTTTTAAATCTTACCCCCAGCAGTATGGTCACCTTTTTTTTTTTTTTTAAAATTGTGATTTGTGTGAAATTTTACAGAGCAAATTCATTTTCCAGTATGGTCATCTTCTAAAAGGCAAGTTTACAAATTTACCTTCATGATCAATTTGATTTCAAAGATAAGAAATGCCTGCTTATAAGACTTTGCATGTGGGTTCAGGAAAAAAGACATTCTGTGAGTCACACTTTCAAGAGCACAAACAATCATCCTGGCAAGTCAGATTGCAAGACCATGAAAAATGCGTTCAGAGCTGCAAATGCGGCCATCTAACTTCTACTGTAGTGTCATGTGGAAAATTTGCATTTTCATTTAATGTGAAATGGTGCTAAACATTCAAGAGTCACAAGGTTTCTGCTGGACTTGAACTGATCCAGGGCATTTCAATCATCTCTCCAACATACCCAGGGAAGCAGTGTGGCACATTCCTCATCAACTGAGAAAACCTGGATGTGAGCTTGTCAATTGTTGGGCACCCTGATGACCCAAATCATGAGCAGTGCCAGGCACATAGGTTAAATCAGTCCATAATGTCCATAATGAGATTCTGCTTTTAGGTGACACTCCTCAAAAGGGGCTAAATAGTTGCTTTTGGCTCTAACTAAGGAAGCTAAAACCTAAAATAAATGGCCAAATCTTTCTTAGGGAGATCATACATTCTGATTATAGGAAAGATAACAATCCACAGAAGGTCTAGGAAAAGTTTTCATAAGCCCCCTCCAGCCCCTTACCTCATTGTCATGTGGGGGCAGTTGGTGTAGTAGCTGCTTGATTCGTAGTTTCTCCCCAGGACTGTTGACATAAGGAACCTTCTCTTCTGGGAGACAGCTATAGTACTGGTGAACCTGCAAAAGGAAAAATACACAGATAACAGGTCCATCACTTCAACCACCTGTCCATTCCCACTTACTGGAGAGGTAAACTTCTATAGCAAGATGCAACCCCCTTCCTGCTGCCTCCACCCACTATGAAACTCGACAGGGTACGAGTTTCTTACTGCAAGCAGAGAAATTCACCCTGAAAAAGAGAGTCAAGCAAATCACCCAGATCTTGGGGCTTTCCCTCTCTACAAAGGAAGAATAAAGCCAGCAAACTTTCCTAGAAAAGGAGAATTCGGCAAACATGCTGGTGAAGCCGGAGGGTAGGGCTTTCTCAGCAGACTCCCCTGAGAGCTGACTTTACCATTTTCTCTGTTAGTCTCCAGCATGTAACGTGTCTCCCTAGCCAAAGGGATATGTCAGCGCCTGCCTCGGCACTGACGTGAAAACCAGTCTTTGGCACTCGACGAACCTCTGGGTACCTCAGCCTCCACCTACAGTAAAAACCCTCCAGGTTTAGAGCCATTTGAAAGGACAAGCAATAACTGACAAATGTCAGAAAGTCATTAAATCTGGGATCCAGAACGTGTAATTAAAATTCATCGTGAAAATGAGGACTTTTGCATTCTAGAATACTTCTCCTTACAATTCTTAGAACACATGTCCGTACTTTGAACCTTATTTAACCTTAAGAACCTGGGAAGCACCAACCACCTAGCTTTACCAGAGAAAAGAAACAGATGTATTACCATCAAGCCACACATACAGAAAGACGGCTTTAATGAGAAAGCATGCACAACAAAGGAAGAAAAAAACTGGTCACAACAGAAGGTATGCTATTATGCAGGAGAGAAAAAAAAAATCCCATAAACCTAGATGACATCATGGAAAATAATTTTCATGTATCTCTTACCATCACAACCAGTTCTTACAAAACAAGGCGTTCACTCAACAATATGGAAAGGATGGAAGACTTGGGGTTCTAAGTTCATCATATTTGTTATACTCCACAAAATTGCTCTAATACCCTTGGGTTTAGGGAGTATTGGATAATAACACTTGTTTTGGGAATGCTGGGAAGAGTTGTGAAAGCTTGGTCTACTTTGATCGCAAGAAAGAAGGTCATAGATGTTAGAAGAGAGAGAAAAAAGGCTTTGCAACGACAAGTCCTTAAAAAATGTGAATGCCATCTTTATTTTCGTACCTAACCATTCTACCACCACGCATGTATCATCCTCTTAATCAAATTCCAAAGGCAGCCATAAACAGACTTCTAGTAGTAGACTTGATGGCTTTCAGAAGGCTGGGCCCCTACAACCTCTTTCTACAGGTACCTGGCAGGGAGCCACATCCTGAGATGGGAAGGAATAGCTCTGAATTTTCAAACAGAGCCCACATATTACTAGCACTCTCTTGTGAAAAAAATAAAAGCCTACATTGTACATTAGTTAGAGATTAGAAGTTGGCTATTGGCCAATCAGAGACTGGCACACCATTTCGTTCTCAGAAGAATCCCTGGTTCCACAGACCTCATACCTCATCAGGTTGAGTGGCAGGTATAAAGAAGCATGCCCGGTTTCTGTCTTGGGGAATGGGCTTTGACTCCCAAGGCAGGGACTGTTTATAGAAAGATTTTATTTCTACATCACTTTGTCATTCTCGCAACTCCCACGATAGTTACAGAACATTAGGGACAATTATCAATATGCAATGAATCTCTGTAATGTTTCACAATGCAGAGTGTAATTTGAGCGTGATTAACCTTCCTCTCAGTCTCCCTTCATACTCACTCATCCCTTTCATTGTCCACAGCAGTCATCTCTGAGAGCCCTTCAAACCGGCACTTTCCACCACACCCTCTCTGACACTCCCCAAGGATGACACAGGTCAGAATCCTCCCTGTGCCTTCTATAGCAGAGCCAGCTGCTCTGAGAGCACATGTTTTAGGGGTCAGGCAGATCTGGACTCCCATTCCTTGGCTCTGCATTTCTCATCTCTGTGTTCCTAAGCAACTTATGCAACCTCTCAGAATAGTTATCATAAGGTAGTGATGATTAAATGAGAATGTAGGCAAAGCATCTGGTCCTCAGTAACAATAAATAACCTGAACAAATAATTATATTATCCAGCTGGCATACGCCAAATGAAGCAATCTAGACGGCTCGTGGCCTTTCTTCCATTTAAGATGTAGAACACTACTGTTGGTCTGTAGAATGAGATCAAACCCGGTGAGCCCCCACCTGTCTTTGGCCATGTTAACAGATTAAAAACCAAATCAAAACAAAAAACCCTAAACCCATTGCCAATGAGTCTACTCTGACTCAAAGTGACCTTAGAAGCAGAGTTATATCTACAGAAAATAGCACCAATGACAAGCACCGAAATTATAGCCCTGCCCAAACATCTGGCACCCATCTTTTAGGTAGTTTTACCATAATATTAGCTCAAAAATACAAGTCAAGCTCATTAATCTTTTACTTAACACATTCTCACACTACATGAAAATTATAACTGCACCTTGCTTGTTTTCACAGATGAAAACAGGTCTACAATATGCTCAAAGTCATTTTTTCCAGTTTCTTCTCTTTCTACACTCAGGAGAGCAAGTTCATAGTCTGCTCTGACCCACCGAGGCTCTCAAATATGAAAGTATTAGTTAAGTTATTAGTTTTAAGTTGCCGGATGAGCCCTCACAGCTGGCGAGGGTAAACACCGGCCCTCCCCCACTTCATATCTGCCATACCTTAGATATATATGCCTCTGCCTACAGGACAGGGCAGAACTTCCCCATAGGGTTTGCAAGGCTGTAAATTTTTACGGAAGCAGACTGTTGCTTGTCTGGTAGGTCTGAATCACCAGTCTATTGGTTAGGAACCAAGCTCTTAACCACTGAACCCACTAGGGTTCCTTATTAATAGTTTATGAGGAATATAAAGCTATTATAGCTATTTTAAATACAGATAAAAAATGGAAAGGTGAGGTATCTTTTCAAGACACCCAGTAGATAGTGGGGCCTCAAGAGGAAATGAACCAGATACTGAAAAGTGACTGACAATGATCTCTTATCTCTCTGGGCTGCATCTTCTTACCTCTGTTCTATTCTCCTCTGTATATCTGTTTCTTACCTTCTCAAAGCTTATGATTTCTTATAGTGCTTGAGTTTATACAACTTTAGTTCAAGGGTCTCACCACCACAACCACTGCATTGACTGGAATCCAACTCATGGAGACTCTATAGGACAGAGTAGAACTGCCCCAAAAGGTTTCCAAGGCTGCAAATCTTTAAGGAAGACTGCCTTATCTTTCTCCTGCCCAGCAACTGGTGGGGTCAAACTGTCAACCTTTTGGTTATCAACTGAGTACCTTAACCACTGTGACACAAAATCTCCTTCTTACACTGGCTAGCTTTTCTTAATTTCAAATTTCCCTGTGAACTCAAAACCAAACCAAACTCTACAGAAGTAGATTGCCCAAACTTCCTTCTGAGGAGTGGCTGGTGGGTTTGAACCACCAGCTTTCTAGTTAGCTGTCAAATGCCTTAGGCATTATGCCACCAGAGCTCCCTCCCTGTGAAGGACCCTGATTATTGCAGCTTAGGCAGTATCCACACCTAAAGACCGAAAGTGAGAACTTTAAGACTGGATCATAAAGGAGTCTGAACATGACATGACTGGGCCAAAGTGGTGGCAGCCATGATGGTGAACTCCAGAACTCTGGAGGTGAGTAAATATCTTGATGTGCCAAAGACCAACCTAAAGACTTTGAATTCTTGAGTACTCTTTGGGAACACAGCTGTGCCTTTTCTTAACATCTTCTGTTTTTCATAACTGAAACCTACTGATGATGCCAAAGCCAAACCCATGACTATCAAGTCCATTCTGACTCATGACGAACCTGTGTGTTATCGACTAGAACTGCTCCACAGGGTTTTCTTGGCTGTGATCTTTATGGAAGCAGTTTGCTGGGCTTTTCTTCCGTGGTACTGCGAGGTGGGTTCGAACCATCAACCTCTTAGTTAGAAGTTGAGTGCAACCATTTCCTCCATACAGGGACTTTACTTATGGATCAACACTGCTGAAAAAGTATCCTTTCTACCAGCAATAGCCCAATAATCCCTTGAATAGAGCATGTGCTAAAATATCTCCTCACAAAGCAACCAATGATTTGATGAATGGTTTAAAAATAATAAAACAAAGCTTAACAGTGTTACTGAAATGCCCCATTATTAAAACAAATTGGTTCATAGTAATTCAGCACCTACAAAGTTACCCCCATATCATGTGGTGGATGATCTGGCTTGCTCCGAGGAAGGAGAATGGTTTGGCCCTGTACCACTTTCAATCTTCTTGAAGCCTGTTCAGATCCACAAGAGAAAACAATCCCTCTAATTTTGGCTAGGTCCCTGAGTGGTTCAAGCTATTTGTATTAGATTTATTAACCTAAAGGTTGGTGGTTCAAACCCACCCAGTGGCACTGCAGAAGAAAGGTCTGGTGATCTACTTTAATTAAGATTAAAGCCAAGAAAACCCTACAGAGCAGTTCTTCACTGGAACACATGAATGAGAATTGATTTGATGACAGAGTTTGGTTTCTGGTTTAACATTGGCTATGCCTCTCTTCTTGGTGTTTAGGTGCTGGATTTTCCAAACCCTTTATCAAGCAAAAAGGATTAGCAGATGGATGGGAGTGAAGAGAGGAACCAATGTCCTGAATTCCCAATCTGTCTCTGGCTGAACATGGAAATGCTGAAAGCATTTTCTCCTGCCACCTTCCATAACAAAACCACCATATAGCTCAAAATAAACACCAAGCAAACCAATGATAAGGGGAAAATATTTAGTATATTTCCTGGCATTACAAAAATGAAATTTGGCACTACCACTGAAAATCCTGCAGATTGCTCATTTTAGCCCAAATATGTTTCACTTACTAATTTTCACAAAAAACAAATCCAATAGAATTTTTTCAAAGATGATCATTGCCAAGCTATTACCTGCTATGTTAGTAAACTTATTTTTCCTTCTGGG